CACACACATGCACGCGCACACACACATACACAGACATGCACACACACATACACGCACACACACACATACACACACACACATGCACACACACACACACACACACACACTTACACACACACACATACGCACACACACATATCCACACACGCACGCACGCACACACACACACACACACACACACATACACGCACGCACACATACACGCACGCACACACACATACATACACGCACGCACGCACACACACACACACACACACACACACACACACACAGACACACTACACGTTTCTTGACATAGTCTCTGACTCGTTGCATTGTGTGGCTATAACTACTTATTTATTGTCGTCACGCAGTCGTAGTTTCAAGTCGTAATTGGTTTTGGCTGCACGAACCTAAAGCGACTTGTTCAAACATAGGCCGTGTGTGTTAGCCAGGCACTCCAGTATGACACAGGCAAACACAGAGGTTCTGAAGTGACAAGCAATTATGCGGGTTGTAGAAGATATCGGAATGGGGCCAGACGCTGACATATGCCCGCCGGGGCAACCGATGCTATCGGCGCTTCAATTCCGTAGGCGGTAGATCTGTGTGTTTGATACATGGTGCCTCTTACCCTTCAATACGATAAACATAAGTACAGTTACAGATACTCTGGATGCAGCGATATAATAGCCTCTACCAGGCACCGCGGATCGCTGGAAAATAGTAGAAATTGGCCGAAATAAAGGGATAGTATACCAAAGAAGATCCCGGGCCATAGAAGATCGTGGGTCACGAATTGGATCTTCTATGGCCCGGGATCTTCTCTGGTATACTATCCCTTTATTTCGGCCAATTTGTACTATTTTTCCAGCGATCCGCGGTGCCTGGTAGAGGCTAGCGATATATAGAATGAAACGGAACGCATACGATACAGCAAGTACATGTCTCCAATCTATGATACTTTTCTGTAACTTAATTATTTTGTGTTTCCTTCTTTTAGGCCACACCAAGTAAATTTTATGGATGACGTCCTTTGGAGATCCTAAATCTAATGCGAGAGGGCGAAAAAAACAAGAAGGGCCCTAAAAAACAAGATGCTTAGATTAGAAAATTAATATACTAAGAGACGACAAATGTTAGGACACAAATTGAATGAGGTGACACAGTGTAACAAGCAAGAAGTCTTTTATTCATCATCAAAACAGCAATAAATCAGGTGGAACAGTGGACAGTGAAAAATTTTCTGTTATTGAAGGATGGTCCTGTCAATAGTGCAAATTTTCTGTTATTGATATACACTTTCAATATATATCAATAGACACTTTCTTCGCGTTACGGGTTTCACATCAATCTGGTGATTTGCGGCTGTCGTGACTCTTTGGTCATAGTTACAGAAAGCGGAATTTCTTGGTTTTTATTCTAGGAACAGGCCAAAATCAATGCGCGCGTGGACGTCATCCATAAAATTTACTTGGTGTGGCCTTACATGCAAAGCTACCAGGTTCGTACAGGATCTAACCATAATCAGGCTCTCGGTAAAGGAATTTTCGTGACGTGCGCGGAGAAAAAAATCCCAAAATGACTGTCACATCAACAATACTTCTATTGCCATATTAAAGATGGTCTCTTTAAGTGTGATAAACCCCGTAGTTGGCCATATTTGTTAGTCCTGGTTTATCTATTTTTCAGTTTGTTGCCCCAAATCCATGATTGTGCACGTTTTGCGTTCAAACGTTCTAATTTGTCGTGCCGGATTTGCAAACAGACAACAGAACACGCTGTCTAGTGTGAACATGCTGTGGAGACTGGCAGCTTAGATCGTTTGAACACACTGTGAACATTTTGTCCATCAGTCAACCCGCTTCATCATATTCCATCCTAATGATTGAAACAGAGACACCTGCAGTAGACGCAGCCTCTGTTCTCCTTACGAGCAACAGTTAGCCTGGGAGCCATCCGTTTTGTACAAAAAAATCATCACCAAGCGGAAACGATGTAACAGTCTCCAGGCGTTTTTTTTTCTGCGGGTTAGCGAGTGTAATGAGCCCCGTTACAAAACGGATGGCACCCAGGCTAAGTGATAGTTAGAGCGTCCCAAAATACTCTTGTTTGCTAAAATCTCTTTCTGCACCCTTCTGGACATTCGTCAGCAGGCCGATAATGAGCGGACGGTGTGGACATAGCGAGTCCGGCGGGCAGGGGGGTGAGGTCTCCGGTAAGATGTTAGACCTGACTCGCTGGCGGGGTCCGACCTCCCGCAAATTGTCACACAAGAGAGCAATGCCCCATTCCGTGGACTTCACCCAAAATAAAATACCAGCGCCTCAAAGCCATACTAAAATTGTCGACCATATATCACGCGCTGGTGTTATGATTGTAACTGTAGCTGCAAGTTTGACCCATTTTGCAAGAGACTCCCTGGCGACTATGAATGTCGTCTGCGGGAATTATATTTGACTGAAAACAAAGTGCTAACGTTTCCATGTACGCTGCAAGATGGCAGACATCAATGATATTTCCTTATCTCACTTGAGCCTGACTTATGTTAAACCTGGCCGCAATAAATCGCCATCTCACCCAGGGAGCTTTCGACGCTAACCGATCAGTGTTTAGATACTTCATACTCTATGAGAAGAGACAGACGTAAACGTTTAGAACCTGATATAGATTATGTGGATTAAATAGGAAATAGACAGCATCAATCATGATACAAAATCATGGTAAACTTTTCATCCGCTCCTTTTTGTTTACAAATATCCTGGCGCTCATTTGTCATGGCGGCGTCTGTTGTGTATATTTGCTTATATGTAGAGAATGTTTATTTCGTCACCAGACAAGTTTGTAAAACTTCCAGAACAAGCTGCTGGTGTTTTAGGTGTCACTGTTCATTATAAACTGATGAGCAGAAACAGGTATCATTAACATATGATATATTGCTTTACAGTACATGACGAAAGCACGTAGATATCTGTATCTGTATTGGTATAGCCAGTATAACCGCCCCTCGGCGTAACACACCAGCTTATATACTCTGAAGATGAATTGGCAAGTAGCAATGGCATGTAGTTGACCAATGCTCACTATCTGACACAGACCTTATTCCTACGTTGCTCATAAATATCATGCTAAAATATTATATGTGTACACGAATAAGCAGGTTTTAAAGCCCTTGAGGCGATTTTTCCATCCCGGCATATCAACCGGTCTATAAATGTAGGCGTGCCCCCAACACATGTGCCGTATATGGAAGAAGCTGACCGAATCAATGTCAGGAATTCCCATCGTCCAGTAGCGTGGCCGGACTGTAAAACCTCCTGATTAGCATGCATGGTGGGGGTATATAAACCGCGGGAAAAAGAGCCGTCGCTTCACTCCGTTTTTGCCAGGCATCTTAGCAGGAAAGGAGGCTTCAGGAGATTTTATAGCGCCCTGTTTTAACGTCTACACAGCGACTAACCCGCCAACTACCAACCATGGGACTGAACGATTTCCAAAAGCAGAAGATCAAGTTCACCTTCGACTTCTTCTTGGGTAGGTGTTTTTTCTTTCTTTCTTTTTTGTTTGTTCTCGTATTTTGTAGACACCATAGCCAATGTCTCTGTCTTACTACTGTACTTATGTGTTAATGTACCAACGATGCCCGATAATCGTACCCAAAGCCAAATATTGTTCAAGGATCAATCCTGTTTGCCCTATACCTTATGCACGGGTAACTGATATTGCCACTGCGATAGACATCCTAACCTTAGATGGGGGGATGCGGCATACATTCTGGACAAGTTAACAACGTTACCAATGCATTTACACAGCTTCTATTCTTCAACGTAGAAGTAGACTGATAGTGGGCGAACATTGATAATAATGTGGATAGCATTGACAACAAATTTGATGATAACTGCTTTCAAAGACATGAATGCCATACCTTACTCGGAATCTATGCAAGCAGCATTAAACCTACGCGTACGTTTTAACAAGGATGGTTTCATTTCGACTTAGTACCATATATGCATCTTACATCAACAAAACGGCAAGCTTATAATGTGAAACATTAGCTCGCATGCAGACCTGAGCAGCACTTAACCGAACTAGACCTAGTCTTACTCCCAACTCAGCCGTTGACATCGAACCTTTTGCAGCCATTAAGATCAAAACCGTTTCTATTTTGAGTAACCCGGGTTCACATTGCTTCAGCAGCAGCCTACAGATAACATACCTGTTGAAATACACTTTTGTTGTCACTTCACAAATGCGTGATCTATAAATACAAAATGATTCTTGGTTTGATGACATGGCAATAAATTCTGTGCCAAACATTGCCACTGCCTTGAGATACGGCCTATGCTTAATGCTGGGATAGTTGGCGCTCAGGTTTTCCATAGAAAAACCCACCGTTGTTCCTTATCTCTGTGAGAGTGTTTCCGTACGCCGTATGTCTGGCCTGTGTCCGGTGAATAGAATGAAGGATACAGCTGCTTCTGAAAGGAGGTACAGTCAAAGGACGGTTTCGACAAAAAGATCGGTATCGTTCTTTCTCATCCCGACCGAAATAGAAGCAAATTTCAGGCGATTCAGAAAACTCGTGACGCGAAAAAGATGAAACATCAACATGCTCCTTATCCATGTTAGCAACTATTCAAAAAATGATTGATGTAAATTCAGTATTCTATGTAGGTAGAAAGCGTTTGTTTCGATCCACACAAAATGACATACCGAAAGTAGCACACAGGCACCGAATTGCTGACTTACGCTTACTGGAAAAAAAGATATAATTCAGACCTATAACGAGGGTGTCATGTCATCCAATAAAAAAGCGGTCTGAGTCTATTTATACAGGGTTTGACGTATAGAGCTGTATATATTTGCACGTCCGCAGTTTTCAACTAAACGCAGCGCCTGACATAATTCGGTCAACATTGCAGTCTACATATTTCCCTGTCGCCCTTGTGATAAAGAATGCACGGCACTTGTACTCTGGTTGCACGCAAATAATTGTGGGCTGCTGTGGATTTTAAAATGTATTTTACGTTCAACACAATCATTCCTATATCCTCACATGCCCAAAAATACGACCTAGCGTATCGTGTAGATCTTTCCGTTACATAAGCGAGGTTGATCAGAATTTCAAATGTTGAAATAATTTTCCTCAAAGATAAGGCGGGTTCCAGTGGCAGACATCGCCAAGTCGAGCGGAGTTTCTTAAATAGTTCTGACTCCCCTGTGTGGTGGTGACGTCAGAACGATGCATTAGCCGCATGTGTTGATTACACCTCTATCCCTTAATACCCGCTCGCCGCGCGTATCATACACTTAGCGGCATAATTTTGTGATTCATCATTCGTAACCATCTTGCTTGAATCCTGGACGCACATAGAGTAAAACGTTTTTGACAGCTGTACGAATTTGTGGAAGAATAGCCAGCTTTATCTTCGGACAAGAGCCCGGCGTTAGATGTCATTAGCAGTGTTTGAGGTAATGTTGGCGGGGGTTTGCAAACTACAAGCGGGGGAGGAGAGATACTGTTTAGCGGCGACAGCGAATGTTCGGAAGATTTGTAACAAAAATAGCCTATAGAGAGGGAAGATATGTCTGAATGCATCGGCATTATCCCTAGACATGGCGACGGGAGAACTGTCGCCGCGCAGGTTTTAAAATTAGACCGCAGCGGAACGTACATTTCTGAGCAGTTTCAGTAGGACCAGAGGAGTTGCTATCATTAGAAATCCCACGGGTGAAACTGCCAACTGTCATTAGAGGAAACCTTTCCAAAGAATCCCACTCATCATAGATATCCGTACAGATAGATCAAAAGATATACCGATAACGAAGTTACACGGCTTCGACCAATCAGGTCATCGGCATTGATCTTCATCATGTCAATCAAACCTGGGAACGACACCTTCATCATGTCCAAATAAGGGCATGCTCTGGACGGTCGCCCCTCCCCTTTTGTGATTAACGGTGTAGACACAGGTCCGAGGAAATTCTAAAATGCTTCTCAAGAAACTTCCTCAAGAACATCGAGCTGAGACGGTCTTGTAACGATGCCAAAACTATATGGAAACATCTTTTGATGGCAATAGACTTAAGGGTCTCCTTAACTGTTCCCTGAAATTAAGCACGAAGGAAAATATCTTTGCCGGTATCACAGGAGGGGGTGAACGACCTTGCTTAGTAAAGAATGATGGAGGTATATAAATAGATATAAATGAAGTCCTCTGGGTGTAATGGGCAAAACGGAATGCACATGGTTTGCTCGACGGGAATTCTTTACAACTGTTAAAAATCGAAGGGACCAACTGTAGCGTTTGTGGAATGCGCAGAATAAGAAAATTAGTCTGGAAATTTACCAAATTCATGCAAATTATGAGATAATGGTGGCATCTCAGAAATGACTGATATGGAGACTACACTTGTACAGTCGGTAACAACTGTGCCGATTTTATCGTTTTCCTGTTCCAATTTGTATCGTGTTTCCCACATATCTCCCAAGTGATACCATTTTGTACAAATCGTATATACCAAAGTTTAAGAACGTTATTAGAATACTTCAGTACGCAACAAAAGAAAAAGAGATTACAGAGCAAATCACTAAACTTAGGGTACGATATCATATGAAGTACTATCAGAAAGAGAGGTTATCTTTCTAATATAAACTCACGCAAATAAAACGTATCTTTAAGCAGCTCTGTTAGCTATTGAGAAATATGTGTATGTCTTAGATACCAGATTTTTCTTTGTATGATGTTGTGTGTATTATTTGCAGTTCTCGTCACTTGTAAATGTTCGTCATGTTTTTGTGTGTGCTTGTGTCCATTCATTCCCAATGTTGAGTGTTTCGCATAACGTTGTATATTAAACACTATCAAAGACTTCTGTGTGTACTTATGTTCACCTGTCTGCTCTAAAAGGTCTCGTTTTGCTTCCCTTTTCAGATTGTGACTGTGCTTCCGTGCCTCGCTGTGTTCTGTCTATCTTATAGTGTCATCGTTTCTTTCTCTGCCTTTAAATTAAATCTCTACAACTCAATGAAGTCTGCATCGTACATTGTTCCTCTAACATTACCCACCCCCCTCCCCCATCCTGTCAAAAATCTGGAAATGTACCCTTTGTCATCAAACAAAAAGTTGTGCATGCTCTACGTCTTACTAAATGTTTCAAAGCATTGAGGACACATTTTGATTGATTCTCATAGGGAGATTATCATGATCAGAACCAATGAGTGAAAAAAAATTAAAAATTGTTGATGCTTGCTAAAATCTTCTGAAGCGCAATGATGAAGAAAGCCGCATCATGAGTTGTGCGTTCTACAAGGAAAGTAAGTACACACCTGATAGACAAAACGGTCTATCATTCTACCAAGTAAAATTGGTAAAAGTCGTATTATTCGAAAATAGTGCCTTTGGTTATTAAAACAGAACACGTGTGCCAAAAGCAGTACGCGTCAATGTGTCTTTGGCTATCAAAACCATACACGCCTCTATGTGTCTTTGGCTAAAAAGCACGCGTCCCACACTTCCATCCATGCAGCTCCTACATTAACCAGGCTCTCCGCAGGCTTCACTGAACAGTAGAGCACAGACTTGACTTTCACGTTTCTCTTCCAGACATGAACCACGACGGATCCATCCAGTGGAATGACTTCGAGGATATGATGACGGTAAGAGCACGGAGCTACGAGCCTTCCGACCTGTCCGTTCGTTAAATGTTAGCTTTGCTGCTATTTTTCAGACTATAACAAAGACGGCTCCATCCAATGGGAAGATTTCGAGGAAATGATTAAGGTACACCAGTTTCAGAAAGTTTGAAACGGTCGCCACCTGATGTAGGCAACATGGTGAACTTCGCTGTGCCATTATGTACAGGCACATCATGTGGCGACCAAAGAGGGATTGTTAGTTCCTACTCATGCATACTGTGTATATGAGGCACACTTTGGTGAATCCGCAATGGACGTTTGAACGGACTAAACGTTGACCTGTATCACTGATCTACGGTGCAACGGTATCGCAGTATATATGTATATATACGGTTTGACTGTGTAGGCGAATTCACCAAAGCTTGTGTTGTATCACAGTGAGTATGTGTAAGGTATATAAACCCTCCGTGCATCTATTTCCAGGAGTCGTCTCAGAAGTTCTGAAACAACCACAACGTCACTTTAACGTTTGGCAAGAGACATCCAAACGAAAGAATGAAATTTGCTGAATTAACGTTCCTTAAGTCTTCTTATAATAACCGTGAAACCCCATCTCATCGTTTTGACGAAAAGACTATTTCGTTACGTGGAAGACGACGACATTTTACTTACTATAACATGCTAACGGAACGGATGTGTCGTGCTAACCTCCATTGACTAACAGCTAAGCTGTGTGCTCCTTCTGCACTGTAAAACATGTATATATCCACGAGTTTATAGTAAGTATATTTCTGTATCTATCACGACTTGACACTTAAAGATCCATGAAATCTATATGGCAGGAATAGAGAAACTCATTTTTATTTGAGGGAGACATATCAATAGTCATATATCATAATCCAGTCAGACTAGTGGGTAGTTGTCAGCATCTGAACTTGCCCCGAAATATTTGCAGACGTTTTCCATTTTTCTTAGCAACGCTGCAAAAAAGGCTTAAAACAGCTGCTGCTGCTTGTATCTGTGAGGCCTCCGGACAACCGAATATGGCTAATAGGAAAGTGGATGGGCTTTGGTAATGGGGACTGAAAGAATTCAATGACCTCTGGCAAGTGTCCAAGGAGGTGTATATAATTTCACCCCGGCAAGCATTCATTAGACTAAAGGCTAAAGGCCGGCGATATTTTGGGACGATTGGGGCATTACTGACCAACTCTAAGCACCACAAGTCCAGCAGGTGCCGCTACAAAATTTCTATAAATACGGCGCTTTGGGGGATATGGGCCACGGTACATTGACCCCATTCCTGCAAACACTGTCAAGATCCTCTCGTTAACCAAGCAACATCTGTCAACGGAACGACAACTGTTCCTTTCGTGCATGCAACAGCCAATCAAAAAGGGACTTACATATGCAGCAGCCAATGAAATAAGGTTGAGAGTCATGTATGCCACAGCCAATCAAAAAGGGACTTACATATGCAGCAGCCAATAAAATAAGGGAGAGAGTCATGTATGCAACAGCCAATCAAAAAGGGACTTACATATGCAGCAACCAATGAAATACGGGAGAGAGTCAAGTATGCAGGAGCCAATCAAAAAGGGACTTACATACGCAGCAACCAATGAAATACGGGAGAGAGTCAAGTATGCAGGAGCCAATCAAAAAGGGACTTAGATATGCAGCAACCAATGAAATAAGGGAGAGAGTCAAGTATGCAGGAGCCAATCAAAAAGGGACTTAGATATGCAGCAACCAATGAAATAAGGGAGAGAGTCATGCATGCAACAGCCAATATGCAGCGACCAATGAGCTGGGGGGGAGGTCGATCCGAGAAACATAACCGTAAATTTAATTGTCTACAGTCAACTGTGACAGTGATAGAGCTAAGAAAAGGCCTTGCATGTTTACGACGACATAACTAAATCGGCCCTTCAGCTAATTCGCAGTGTCATGTCATTCAAAAAAACATCTGCTGGTCAAACTTGTAACATCAGTCATGCATCGTCATTCCTTCGCCCCCCTCCCACCCAACAGAGGTACAAGGAGGTGAACAAGGGCAGCCTGTCTGATGCTGACTACAAGTCCATGCAGGCTTCTCTTGAGGACGAGTGGAGGGACCTGAAGGGGCGCGCCGACATCAACAAGGACGACGTCGTAAGTGTGGAACAATATATCTCCCGTTATGAAAGTACTGTATATGATACATCGGTGGAAGCAAGAACTCTCAGCATGTAATTTTACACCATCGGAGTAACAACTAAGATTGTGCCATAAACAACTCAGTTGTAGGTGACTAGCATGCTCAGAACAGTGAAGCTTGCGTCTTTATAATTAGTTCATCTGTGTAATCGGTACAACCACCCCTCAGAGTAACACACTATATTACCCCCCCCCCCCCCAGGTCTCGTGGGAAGAGTACCTCGCCATGTGGGAGAAGACCATCGCCACCTGCAAGTCCGTGGCCGACCTGCCCGCCTGGTGCCAGAGCAGGATCCCCTTCCTCTTCAAGGGCATGGATGTCAGCGGTGAGCCAATCCAAAACACGCTTACATACGCAGCAACCAATGAAATAAGGGAGAGATCGTGCATACAACACAGCCAATCAAAAGGGGGCTTACATACGCAGCAGCCAATGAAATAAGGGAGAGATCGTGCATGCAACAGCCAATCAAAAAGGGACTTACATACGCAGCAACCAATGAAATAAGGCAGAGATCGTGCATGCAACAGCCAATTAAAAAGGGGCTTACATACGCAGCAACCAATGAAATACGGGAGAGATCGTGCATCCAACAGCCAATCAAAAGGGGGCTTACATACGCAGCAACCAATGAAATACAGGAGAGATCGTGCATGCAACAGTCAATCAAAAAGGGGACTTACATTTGCAACAGCCAATGAAAAAGAGACCTACAGATGCCACAACGAATGGAAATAGAGATTGGCTCGCATGTAACAACTAATTACAAGTTAGAAGACAGCTGCACATGGTCAAGACAAAGAACATCTAGAGCTTCTCCATTAGGATGTTTGACATGTTTGAGTCATGTTTCTCATAGCTACCCTAACTCACACACACAGGGGACGGTATTGTTGACCTGGAGGAGTTCCAGAACTACTGCAAAAACTTCCAGCTGCAGTGCGCAGATGTCCCGGCCGTCTACAACGTTATCACAGACGTGAGTATGGCTATATCTGGGTACATGGATTAGTCAAGACTTAGGGCACGGTCACATTTCCAAGCCGGAGCCCGGCCGGGTTGTTTGCGTGAAAGAAATTGAAAATAAACAATTTGTATCACGAGTATACACAAATAGTGCTCATGGTTGATTTTATAAAACTTTTTTTTTGTGTGTTTTGCTGTCTTATATCATATTATTCGTTCCATACGACTGCCCGGCCGGGCTCCGGGTTGGGAAATGTGACCTTTTCGTAGCCTACGTACTCCACATAATGGTGATTTCTATAGAAAACTGCGCAAATAAAAACGTTTAAAACGTAGTACCAGGTACTTAGTGCACATGTAGAATGCTTACATATGTCTATAAGCACTTCAGCACAGATTAAAGTGAATTTGCAATAAAACATTTCGTTTTTATTAAAATGTAATTTTTGGGTTAATGTTACACAGTAAAGTGCATAACTGTGACTTAAGCAGACTTACGTTGCTATCTATAGTCCCGACAAACCAACTTTTGACCTTACACTACTGTGTGTAAAAGACGCGTTTACGAACTACAACCGACTGTGCAAAGCTGAACGATTGGTAAACACTGTTGTCCCCTTTCCAACGACGTCACAACGCGACAAGCCACGACCACTGCTCAAAATCTCATCTTTAAGTACACCCTAAAGCGTGCGTAAATGTTCCGTTTTCCACGGAACAGGACCTTTACATGTGCTATAAGGTGTATACGCTTAAAGATAGAATTTCATGCAGTGTACATGCGCCACGCTTCCCACGTACACCAGAGATGGACGTGTCACCTGTTTTACGTGCATGTGAGTACTGCATGGCGACCCAATACAAACATTCGTGCCGTGTTGTGTTGTGTATCTAAGGCCACAACAACTTTTGAGCAAGTAAATTTTATGGATGACATCCTCTGCAGACTCTAATCCAAATCTAATGCGATAGGCCGAAAACAATAAATCAGAGCCTTGTCTTGTCTCCTCTCTTCGTATTTATCTGCCATCCACGTTCCAGCATGGCAACGGACATCTTTGCCCATTTTCGGCATGTTGAACATTGTCAGAAGGCAACAAAAGTTCTTTTTTTTTCTTCCAAAATCAGGCGAAAATTAATGCGCGCTGATGTCATCCATAAAAATCACTTGCTGTGGCCTAAGCCCTGAACTCAAACGGTCACGAACGCGCTCACGATTCACGCTGGACACTATGTCTATGAGAAAAACGCACACTCCACGGAAATGCGTTCAAGCTCCAGCCACCCTGACGCCGCCCGCCACCTCCTCCTGCATGCTAGCCGTTACAAACCACTTCAATCCATCAACCCGGTGCTTTCCGTGGAGACAAACGACGCCATCATTCTCCTCAGGAAAGCAGAGACCTTGATCTTGACAATAATGCACAAAGTGTGACAATCCATTGCAGCTGACTACCACTTTCAGACGACCTTTCATAACAATAATGTTTTGCTCGGCGGAAGATGTGAGAAAATAGCCTTGTGATGTACCATAATGGATGCAGGCGTGCTTTCTGATATAGTGGACGGCCTAGGATTACCGTAATGGATGCAAACTCTGTCATCACTGTGCGACGAGTGTTTGCTGATTGACGTTGCTTGCTTCCATCGCAAGGTGGCGCTTTTTCCGTGTTCTTACCGTACGCGACGAAACAGAGATGGACTCATGACAAAGGACGGGTGCAGTTTGACCTACTGCCACTTTGTTTCATGCTTTGGAAACTTCTCTTACGAACAGGGAGGGAAGGTGACGTTCGACATCAACCGCTACAAGGAGCTGTACTACCGTCTCCTGACCTCCCCGTCTGCTGATGCCGGCAACACCCTCATGGGCCAGAAGCCTTGAACGGATGTCCTAGTGTACATAGAAGGACGTGTTTCTCGTGTTGTTGAGAACGTTTCTGTGTGGCTGACATCGCTTGTACTGAATACCGACCTTCTTGTTTGTCTCCAAACATCCAAAATAAAACAAATCCGTCACACGTTTTGAAGCTAGAGTTAAAAGTTACGAGCTTTTTTAAGCTAGAGTTTTAAACGTGATAAAGACCATATGTACAGCCTTGTTATATGGATGTTTCGACTCAACAAACAGGTAGTTTGCAGACCCCATTGTATGTAGGTTTTGATTTTTGACGTCTCATGACTTATACAAAACGTTAACACAGGCATTATCTGGCTATACAAGGACGACACCACCGCAGAAATTGAGATAGCTTTTAACTTCTCTTCTGCGGTCACCCACTACGCTAAACTTCCCAACCAAGGGACCATGGTTTATTTCTTAGCAAACCGTTGACGAGCCACCATTTGAACAAAAAAATACCACTAGCGTCGGAAAGGATTTATCACTGATTGTATCTAGAAATCTCATCTTTTAATGAACAGTTAAGACTACAGGAGATTTTGAGACTTTAGTCTACTCTTGCACCACATGATGGGCCATGGAAACACAATTTTAAGACCTTTTCCCCTCACAACACGATGTAGAGCATCTATAGATACAAAACGAGACGAAGTGTGTGTTCAGAGTCTTTACGGTCTGCAGCGCCGAAGTTCTCTGTATCTGTTCGTACAAGGATGTATGGAAATAAAGAGCCAGACAACTCAATAGTCCACTTCTTTATTTGGTTGTTGAATACCTGTTAAACGTGAATTTTGATGGCTTTCTTGACGTTTTTTACTTAGCTTTCCATCTTTAGATAGTATGGAATGTATAAATGTTAAGATGTGGTTAAAGCGGCATATCAGGTTGAGGTTATAAGAATTAAGAAATGAATCATTGAAAGTTGCATGATAGAATAGTTTTCTTCTAGACAAACTCGATATTGGCTGTGTGAAAATGTAAAGAACTTAATTTTAAGCATCAAAGGAGGAAAATCACGAAAAGTTCGTTCTGGGTATCACAGAAAAATCGCATTCAAAAGATTTTAGAGCCTTGGTACAGAAATATGTGATTGTACAAAGCTCTAAATGTTAAAGCCACCTGTACTCTTGTGGGGTCGTGTGGCGTAAAGACAGACCATTCAGCTCAGAACCAAGAGGTCCCGGGTTCGAATCCTGCTATATCACCAACCTAACTTTCCTCACTTCGCTCAGGTGTTTAATGAATATGCGAGAATGATCATTATCATGTCCGTGGGCATTAAAAAACTATTCTTCTTTTAACCTCCCAAAACCCACAAATTTTGAAAAAGGTGGGACATTACGTCTTCCATGGTTTACAGAAGTCAAACCCTTCAGACATAGTTATAGTTCTAGACAGCTACCTTTATGATGTAGACTTCAGTTATTTTGTACTATGTTTCATTGTTCTTTTATGTTCTGTAATTTGCAATTAGCCTCCGGGCACGAATTTGCAAGAAACTTTTCACTAAAAGGAAAACCAAAAACTTTGAATTACGAGGAAAGTTTTATAAGAACCGTATCGTGAATGTCTTGTTTTGTTTCTCGTCCCTCAGGGAGGCAAGGTGAATTTTGACCTGGCCCGCTACAAGGAGCTGTACTACCGTCTCCTGACCTCCCCGTCTGCTGATGCCGGCAACACCCTCATGGGCCAGAAGCCTTGAACGGATGTCATTGTAGATAAAAAAAACAAAAACACGTTTTGTAGTTGATTCACAGTTCAACAACTAACGTGCAGTAGATGTACTAGACTTTGTGTTTTCTTTTCTTCTTGAAATGGGTTATTTTCTTGAATCTAAGCATCCAACGATTTGACTCTATAACAAGGGTTTAGTCAATAGAAGTACTTCGGAATAAGAACTCTCTAAGATCAGTCAAGTACATGTACATAGGATTGTCTCTCGCATCGGATGCTTTGTTTCGAGGAGCTAGCCTGCCGATATTTTGTTCAAGCGATTTCAACGTACTTCTTGTCAAGTCTTCCCTTTGACAACGTCTATTCTGAGGCTGCTAGTTGCTAAGGATGTTCACAATCAGCTATATATAGACTGGTTTATTGTTGATGAACAAATAAATGCGAAACTGTAACCATCACAGTCAACATATATATAACTGTTAAAGTGAATATCCCAACCCTCAGTCGTTGTAGGTATATAGCAACTACATCTGCCTCAGAAAGACCGTTGCCATTTTCAAATCTAGTTTGATACTCAACTGTCAGATCGTCAGGACCTTCTATCAGCTAGACCTTTCCTGCAGCTTGTAAAAAAGAAGCTTCTATATTGTTCAAGAGGTTGCGAAGACAGCTATACCCTTTTGTACACCCACCTTTACCACCAGTGCTATAAGTATAACATAGACCCGTTTACAACCAGTGGAAAAGTAAAAGATTATCTATTTAACTTTTGGGATATGGCGGCCTGCAGTGCCGAGGCACCCTGTCAATGGTTGTGATTGGTGGGAAATAAAGAGGAAGGCAAATGCTGTGTTTTGGGTGATTCTTTTTGGTAGTCAATGATGGCTGACATGCTGGTGTCCTGTTTTGCATTTCATCACAGTTGGGTTATCAAGGGTTTACATAATTTTTGTGTTTTTTCATAAATACTCTTGTTTGGGCTATAGGCGTTCAATACTATTTATTTGAGGGGGCTAGAAGATCTCTAAACGTCTGAAAATGCTTGAGCTATAATTCAATGAAATGCAAATAAGGACACCAACATGGCAGCAGTCACGGCGGTGACGTCACACGAAAACACTATGTAGTCTCTACCGGAGTTTAGGCTTCTCATGGATGTGTCAACATACAGCTTCGAATGAGAAAAAAACTGCATCCATGGATGAAAGGGATAAAATTCCTGTGACAGGTCTAGTCAAGAAGGAACACCATCACTTTTAAAATCTATCCATTTGGTCTGTGACAAAATGTATGAAGATTATGAATAATTGTATTAAATGGCAGAACCAGTATCATTAGTAAGACTATTAGAGTCATTACGAGCCCAACGCAAGTCAACATGCATCAAATCTAACATGTAATTTGATTTACTGACTTATATATGCCTAATACGAAGTCGCACAAATTTCATGTTGGTATATCAGATTTCGTTACAACCTATTTCTATTTTTGGTGACAGTTTTGATCCTACCCTGATGAGTCTGATCTCATTCACTGTCGATAAAGGATCCTGTGGGAAAAAATTAAATAAAAATCCAGAGCGTAGGGGCTTTGTCATTAGATAGCTTTAAACAATGTCTAGAGTTAGAAGTTCAAGGGTTAGGTGTAATAAGTCAATGGGTGTAATGTAGCCAGCTGCCGCTGTGCCACGTGCATGGAAAGCTGGTGTGTTATGCCGAAGGGCGGTTATACCGGCTATACAGATACAGAAGCTGGTGTGTTACGCCGAAGGGCGGTTATACCGGCTATACAGATACAGAAGCTGGTGTGTTACGCCGAAGGGCGGTTATACCGGCTATACAGATACAGAAGCTGGTGTGTTACGCCGAAGGGCGGTTATATACCGGCTATACAGATACAGATACGTGCCAGAGCATGGTTCTGGATACAACCCCCAGGATAGACTAGTAACCAAGGTAAGGTTAAAATCCCTGGGTAGACTTAGATGGCGGGCAGGGATGGAGGCTTACAGTGCAGACCAACCCCAGTCTACACTGGTAACCAGGGTAAGTTTGCCTTGGATTTACTTTCCATTCCACTGAAAGTATTATGTGTACTTGTCATGTGCTCTCCTGGAAAAAGATCTCATTGAGAAAAATCCACCTTGTAATAAAAGTGGACAATTAGTGTTAACAAACATGTAACTACTGATACTAAGATTTTTCTTCCAACATATATGTAATAAACATGTACAGTTGGTACGTAATATCTACAAAGAAATTTCCAAAAAAGAAAAAGCTACACAACCAGTGTATAATGTAAAACTACAAAATTAACCACAGATTTCAAGATAATGCATCGGGCTATAAGCTGACAAGAACACAAGTTTGTCTCCTTACATTTTAGCCCAACCTTGACAGAGGAAATTTCATTTCATTTAAGGGGATAGTTGAAAAAATAAGACATGTACACAATACATGTTTATTTGTCAGTCTTCATCTTCTTTGCAAATCTTGTCTTTTTCTTCGCTGCTTTTTCTTGGATCTCTTTTGGAACCTCTTTCCTAAGATCATCAACTCTGGCCATCAGTTCTTCAAAAGTTAGCGAGCAGTCGCTTTCGATCCACAGAGCGACCAACTTGTCCTTGACCCACCCGACCTCCGCACCAAAGAAGATGCCCTTCTCCATCAGGTGTTTCCCTGTGACGGGGAATCTGGGGATGGTCCAGGTCTGGAGCTCTGAGAGGAGTGAAGCGTCACCTTGGTACTTCAGAACCTCGCACACTCGGTCTGACATCTGCTTCTGTTCCGTCCCTGGGGTCTAAAGTACGACAAAAGGATACAAGTAAGTGGGGACCCCTAGTGAAGTACTTTGTTATTGCAAGTAGTGAGCAAAGCATCTTAATTACTAATATTAGCTCTAGGCTCCACCTTGGTACTTCAGGACCTCGCACACTCTGTCTGACATCTGCTTCTGTTCTGTCCCTGGGGTCTAAAGTACGACAAAAGGATACAAGTAAGTGGGGACCTCTAGTGAAGTACTTTGGCATTGCAAGTGAGGCGATAGATTATACATGTATAGTTAGGTAGCATTTCTGGCTCCAACTTTTGTACTTCAGAACCTCGCACACTCAGTCTGACATCTGCTTCTGTTCCGTCCCTGGGGTCTAAAGTACGACAAAAGGATACAAGTCAGTGGGGACCTCTAGTGAAGTACTTTGGCATTGCAAGTGAGGCGATAGATTACACATGTACAGTTAGGTAGCATTTCTGGCTCCAACTTTTGTTCTTCAGAACCTCACACACTAGGTCTGACATCTGCTTCTGTTCCGTCCCTGGGGTCTACGTGGGATAAAACGGATGCAAGTCAGTGGGGACCCCTAGTGAAGTACTTTGTTATTGCAAGTAGTGAGCAAAGCATCTTTATTACTAATATTAGCTCTAGGCTCCACCTTGGTACTTCAGGACCTCGCACACTCGGTCTGACATCTGCTTCTGTTCTGTCCCTGGGGTCTAAAGTACGACAAAAGGATACAAGTAAGTGGGGACCCCTAGTGAAGGACTTTGTTATTGCAAGTGAGGAGATATATCTTATATAGTACATAAGAAATCATGTACAGTAGCACTTCTAGAGGTAGTGGTGGCAGACACAAAAAAAAATGGACCATACATAAAAAAGCAAACGATCTTTCACCATCAACCTCTGCTTGGAGAGTACCTGTTGAGTTTAGCTCAGTCCATCCTCTTGGGAGGTGACAGCTATGATCAGATGTCTCTCAGAGACAAATAACTGGAAAGGTACAGTAGGCATCCTTCCATGTCAAAAGATGGTGTATGCATAAATAATGTAGTAGTGGAATTTTGCTCCAATTCTTCACAGTGGTGGTGTAACGTCATGAAACAAACACATTAGTTATGAATACATGAACACTACAAATCTAGACCATAGTACCTTAAGAACAATGCCTTGGTAGTGCTTGAGTAGCTGTTCTGTTTGCTGCTCCCCCTCCCTCCGTAGCTGCATGACCAGCAGACCTGTTTTCCTCTCCTCTATGGAGATCTTGAGTCTGGTGATGATGTCGTCCATCTGACCAGGCTGTTCCAGCAGTGCTGCCACCATGGTCATGGGGCGGGGCTGGAGGTCTCGCGCTCGGGCGTAGACTTGGTCAAACTCATCCAGGTTACCTTCCAGTGGGAGACCTAAAACAAACACACACACAGAACTAGAATTAGAAAGGTAACATTTGCAAAGCAAATGCATAATGCGTCGATGAAAGTTAGACATCCAGGTAATACAATACGCCAAAAAGCAGTTACTCAAGCAACTGGATATGATTTTAAAAACGGTCAGACGCTTCAGCTAGTATCCACTAGCTTTCGTCAGTGACTGAGAGACCAGAGGAGAAATACCCTAACTACAAATGCATTTTTTTCAAATGTTTACCTTCACATATGGTCTGCTCTGTTAATTCTTACTCAGCACATTCATGTATATGGTCAGACAGGAGTCTAAATCTCTCCTGCTATAAAATTGCAACATGGTGTAACCCAACACGTTACCATGGTGATAGACGTTTGACCAGTCATTGACCTTATTGGTTTAGAGAAGAAGAAGAGGAAACAGAGCAAAAGCAATATGTTTTCCTTCGCTCAGGTCAAAATGAGTATTGTACTGTGTTGGTGGCGGCATTATAATTTGAAAAAACTTGAGTGTGCCGTCTCCACGTCTTGTGATTACATGTTGGAATAAAAAAAACATGCCATAAATCTCACAGGAATGGTTACTTACCAATGTACTTTGGTAGACCAAGGTTGTACATACATCTCATGATGGGTGCAGCGTGGTTACCCACTACAATCTTCTTCAGTTCCGTCCAGATCCGCTCACCAGAGATACCTCCCAGTCCCCCTGCGTTCTCTCGTATAGCCTCCAGGGTGGAATCTTCGTGCTGATTGGGCATCTCAGCAATCCTGCCATAAAACCTGGGATATGCACCAATAGCAGCACACGTTACAGAAAAGAGTGACAGTGAGATATTTCTGAGGGCATCCAACTTAGATGTTCTTTCGTCAAGAGTGAAGGTCATATCCAAGTGAAGAAAACTTGCTGTCTGATGTACCATCAGGCACACACAGTACTATATGTCTAACTCTAAGTCCATCTTTATGTTAATTGAAATGGTCACCAAAATGTTCCCTAGCCTTATTCACCTTCCCAGCCTACAAAAACTGCATTTGTATTAACACCTCCCAATTCATATACATGTATCTCACAAAATGTCGGCCATTTCATACTCCATTGCACACGGAAAAGAAATAAAACCCAACAATAACTACAAATGTATATCTAAAGTAGCATTAACGTTACTTAATATGATATTTAATGTTTATTTTTGTTATCATGCTCTTGCAATTAGCCCTCGGGCATGAATTTGCAATAAACTTTCTAATTATCAAGGTGACAATGAAATTCAGACATGTACTAGTAAATGTTACCTGAAGTATCGTAGGATCCTGAGGTAGTCCTCCTGAATCCTTTTTGTAGCATCTCCTACAAAAGCCACCCGTCTGTTCTGTAGGTCTGTCCAACCATCAAAGTAGTCATAAAGGGTTCCATCCAATCCTGATGAAAATAAAACATAACTTGCTGAAAGGTACCAGATAGACCACACTAGAATGCTCACAATGCTATATTGTTGGCACCACCCTGAGACATTGCCAAAAAAATAATGACAACAACAAAAGACAGATTCAAACACAAGCACCTAGTACTTTCAAGATTTAATAAAATCAGCTATTATAGCCACAGTAGTGTACAATGAAGTGTAAAAAAGTGGGATGACAGTTATACAATAGTTACCTTGATAGAGACTTAATATTACAGATACATTATATCTTTAGACATGCAGGTAGAACATTATAAACTTGCAAAATAAATCAAGCTCTAGAGAATTCATGCAGTTGCAGGATACATGTTGTACTACAAACATGTATTACAGTACCTTTATGTTGCTTACAGTTTCAATCACTAGATTTAGTGACACTGTCACATCTTTAACATGTAGGGACTTGTATATTAGGAATTATCGATACTAGAAATAACCTAAGAACATGGAGTTGATGGTGAGATCTCGTCTCTCAGCGTCGATTTTTATATTTTATTATTTTTTTTTATTTTTTTTTTTATTCGCAAATTCAACAAAGACAATACAAGACAAGGTGGTGAGGTACTCTAGCTATAGCTAATTTTAGCCTCACCACCAAACATAGAATACAATTACAATACATAACAAAAAACAGAGAACAGCAAGTTAGCAAGTGGGTGGGATGGGTCGTTA